ATATATATAGCAGCAATTAGAGGTGTGTCTAAGTAGCTAAAGTGTATATATTACATAGAGACTCTATGTGGCTAAATTTGAAAAAATATGGTCCCTCTGGACTACTCATTCACACCTTTCTGATTAGATTTCTTCTTCACTGGTCTCTATCCTGAAATATTGCTTTGTGGGAACACACATATTCTAACCACCCCTTTTTCCACTCAGAGCCATGCACTGTTTGCAAAAAACCCATAACACACACAGCTATAAACATTTTTTTTAATTACATAGTACAACAATTGGAATGTAATTCCTATGCCTACTGTATTGGACACGCTCTACTGAGCCTACACTCTGTTTTGTTTTCACAAAACCGAGTTCTGTATCTTTCTGAAACTATACCTTTTGTACTTTGAAAAAACAATAAAATGTGCCTGTTAAAAAAAAATACTTTGAATTACTAAACTGGAACAAGTATGGAGATAAGAAACGTTTCTGTTTACTCTAATCTTCCTGATCTGCATATTTGTGTCAGGTCAGTGACTTGGAGCCGGAGGATTGGTATAACAGCCAGGCAACTAGCATATTTAGAAGGAAGTCACAAGTTTACATTTGTAGGGAACATTATGATAAGCATGCAATTACAATTTACAAATGTTAAAGAAAGCTATTTATGTAACGTGTTAATGAATTCTGACAACACATCTACATTTTTACAATATCGTATCATATGCCTGCATTATTTTCAAAGCCATTGCAGGGCGTTGAAGGGTATGTTGTTTTGCAATTGTGTGCTTATCATATGCTTGTATTGTATGCTTTCATATGAAAATACAAACTTTATATTTCTAATCTATTTCTATTCACAGCATAATTAAAAAAAAAATGTAACAATTGCTGCTTAATTTTGAAATGCAAAAAAAATAATTGCAAAAAAATGGTCTGGCCATACTGTGTGAATGGGAACACAAACATATAGTGGAGGTTTCTCAAATTTGACTGCAAAGATGAAAATGCACTCTAAAGGTGCCCATACACTATACAAACCCCGCAAGACTTTTGTCTTGCGAGGGTTGTAAATTAATTAAAAATACATACGATCTGCCCATCTTGGACAGGCAGATCGTACCTGCAATCATCGCAAGCCTGCCCCGCTGAGGGGCGGGCTTCCGATTACTGCAATGCTGAACGGGCAGTGTGCGCATGCGCACACCGGCCCGTTCGGCAGTGATCTCTCGATCATGTTAAAAACCAGCCGAAAATCGTACGATTCTCGGCTGGTTTTCCAACATGCTCGATATACAAAAGTCGTGCGACCGTACATTAGAAACGGTCGCACACCTTCCATACACTGCATGATTCTCGTACGATCGCGGGATTTCCCACGATTCTCGTACGAGAATCGTGCAGTGTATGGGCACCTTTACAGGGTTATTCACAAAAGGGTGAAGAGTTTGGAGAAAGCAGGAATAGTGAACAATCTAGGACAACATAGCTGATTTGGAAAAATTCTCCAATTCAGCTCACTTTCCATATCACTTTCCATATCAGCTATGTTGTCCTAGATTGTTCACTTCTCCTGCCTTCTCCAAACTCTTCACCCTTTTGTGAATAACCGTTAGTGTTTTTCTGCTCTCAGTTTTTCGTTTAAATTAAATACTCCTCACTTGTGATCTTGTACAGACCATGTGTTTGATTTTATCTAGGTTTCTGGTAAAACATTACATCAGAGAATTCTGAGATTTTCTGTTTATCATGTGGATAAAATAAAGAAGCACCATCTCTTAGGACAGGTTCTCTTCCCCCTGAAAAATGAGAATTTAACAGATGATGGCAAGCTTGTCATTTGGCGGGATCTTGAACAAGAGAGTTCAGAGGTAAGGAATTACAGAGAATCAAACCATTTTTTAGTCAACATATTGTGCTGTTTAACTGTAACTTTCAGTTGCAAAGCAAAGTATGTGGTAAGAGGTCTTCATATAAATAACACATAATACTGTATATCTTCCATCCTATATGATTTCATGTTTGATGTTAGATAGGAATTCTCCTTGTAATTTTTCTTTCAAGAAGGGCCAATAAGAGGGCTTTTGGATAATCCATTTCCTACAATATTATTATTATTATTACATAGTATTTATATAGCGCCAACAGTTTGCGCAGCGCTTTACAATATAAGGAAGACATTACAGTTACAATACAATTCAAGACAAGATGGTAAGGAGGGCCCTGCCCCTGAGGGCTTACAATCTAATTTTGAAATGCAAAAAAAATAATTGCAAAAAAATGGTCTGGCCATACTGTGTGAATGGGAACACAAACATATAGTGGAGGTTTCTCAAATTTGACTGCAAAGATGAAAATGCACTCTAAAGGTGCCCATACACTATACAAACCCCGCAAGACTTTTGTCTTGCGAGGGTTGTAAATTAATTAAAAATACATACGATCTGCCCATCTTGGACAGGCAGATCGTACCTGCAATCATCGCAAGCCTGCCCCGCTGAGGGGCGGGCTTCCGATTACTGCAATGCTGAACGGGCAGTGTGCGCATGCGCACACCGGCCCGTTCGGCAGTGATCTCTCGATCATGTTAAAAACCAGCCGAAAATCGTACGATTCTCGGCTGGTTTTCCAACATGCTCGATATACAAAAGTCGTGCGACCGTACATTAGAAACGGTCGCACACCTTCCATACACTGCATGATTCTCGTACGATCGCGGGATTTCCCACGATTCTCGTACGAGAATCGTGCAGTGTATGGGCACCTTTACAGGGTTATTCACAAAAGGGTGAAGAGTTTGGAGAAAGCAGGAATAGTGAACAATCTAGGACAACATAGCTGATTTGGAAAAATTCTCCAATTCAGCTCACTTTCCATATCACTTTCCATATCAGCTATGTTGTCCTAGATTGTTCACTTCTCCTGCCTTCTCCAAACTCTTCACCCTTTTGTGAATAACCGTTAGTGTTTTTCTGCTCTCAGTTTTTCGTTTAAATTAAATACTCCTCACTTGTGATCTTGTACAGACCATGTGTTTGATTTTATCTAGGTTTCTGGTAAAACATTACATCAGAGAATTCTGAGATTTTCTGTTTATCATGTGGATAAAATAAAGAAGCACCATCTCTTAGGACAGGTTCTCTTCCCCCTGAAAAATGAGAATTTAACAGATGATGGCAAGCTTGTCATTTGGCGGGATCTTGAACAAGAGAGTTCAGAGGTAAGGAATTACAGAGAATCAAACCATTTTTTAGTCAACATATTGTGCTGTTTAACTGTAACTTTCAGTTGCAAAGCAAAGTATGTGGTAAGAGGTCTTCATATAAATAACACATAATACTGTATATCTTCCATCCTATATGATTTCATGTTTGATGTTAGATAGGAATTCTCCTTGTAATTTTTCTTTCAAGAAGGGCCAATAAGAGGGCTTTTGGATAATCCATTTCCTACAATATTATTATTATTATTACATAGTATTTATATAGCGCCAACAGTTTGCGCAGCGCTTTACAATATAAGGAAGACATTACAGTTACAATACAATTCAAGACAAGATGGTAAGGAGGGCCCTGCCCCTGAGGGCTTACAATCTAAAAGAGGAGGGGGAAATGATACATGAGGTAGCTGTGGTAGCTGTGGGAATGAATTATGTAAGAATGTGAAGGTTCAGTGGTTAGGTTGCGGTGGGATAGGCTTCCCTGAAGAGATGAGTCTTTAGGGAACGCCTAAAGGCAGTCAGTGTGGGAGATAGACGGACAGGGTGGGGGAAAGAGTTCCAGAGGATGGGGGAGGATATAAAAGGATCGTGGCGGGCACAGAGCAACCATAGTGTCAGCGTATTGGAGACTGCTGTAGGGAATTGCTAGGGAAAGCTGAGAAACTGCAAAGGGACTCACATATCACTTGCATTCACCATACATTGCTATAACTATATTAAAAATAAAAGTTAGGTATATACTAGTTAGTCTTATTATCCATAACTAAAACTGTTCTGTTGCTGGCCAACTTACACTGCTGTATCATCTGTGGCATCTTAAATCTTGCAGTAAAACACTTGCCTCTGTTCTTTGTCTCCAGTGCATTTGGGCCCTAGTCTTGCTCATTAAAACGTTACACTGCTGTCTGTGCATTTTGTTTCTTGATACATTTTGACCTAGTATTAATTGAAATTATCCAGCAGCTGACCAATTCTGCAGTGCTATCTCATCTGCGGTCTCTTAATTCTTAATGAGAGCCTGATAGAAAATCGGCCAGTGGCAGGACATTTCTGTTTCAGCAGGAACAGGGACAGTTTCAGCGAACCACTCGCTGATTTCTATTCACTGATCAAAGCAGGTCTATTACCACTATATAAATTATAAAAAGCATGTGCCACAGCAAAACTACCTGTAGAAGGCTTTTAAAAAAAATCTGAAATGCATCCAATTTGGGTGCTGCTGTATGTAAGCCAAACTAATTGTGAAAGACAAAATACACTTGCACAGCCAAATATGTACTGCCAGAGTATGCTGTCGCTGAGGATGTCCTTGAAAATTGTACTGGTCTGTAGCATCATATAAAGCTTTAGGGAATATTAAAAGCATTTAACAAATTTGCTCATCTCTATTGAGGACCCAGATGATCAATGTTAGAGAAAACATTGGCTTAAAAAGGTAGAAAAATGTGTTTGTCATTTTATGTGTAAATTAATTATGTGAGCTATGAACAAAATCAGTTTTATGAATCCTGCTTAAAGTGAGGGTTCAAAGTTACTGAAAATTAGAAATTTCCTTTAGGAAGACATTAAATTAGATGCAATCATTGCAGCAGTTAGGTGTGGGTATAATATCTATTTTTGCCTGTGTAAACATTAGAAGAACCTACAGCTCAAGAGCTGGCAAAACTTTTTATTTTGTTTTGGAAAGGGTTTGAGTCTACATCATATGTTTTCTTTTTTTTATTAGGGAGCTTTACTCTCACTTGTTTTCAGTACAGGAAGTGATGGAAAATGTCTTCAAAGGAAAAACAAACAACACATATTTATTAAAGTATTAGAGATACACTTCTGACAGTATTTTTGTTGCTGCCTGTGACTTCTGGTCTCAGTGACTAGCACACCTTGCATTTCCTGTATGAGGGTCACAGAGAGCGGAAGTTAGAGAAAATCTCCCTAATGGCAGTCTTAGACAGAAATAAAAACCTGTTATAAATGTCCTTGCTCTACCCAAAACTAAGAACAAATTAAGCTTGGGTAAGTTGGGTACTTTATGTGTTCACAACATAAAAAGGCATGTTTAGGACAAAGGACCCCAAACAAGTTTCACTAGTATTCTAGTTCACTAGTATTTATCTACATTTTCTGGCTACCATGATCAACATCTGAGTAATAGTAAGTAGTAATCATAAATCTGGGTTTTCTCAGATTGATATTTTATTTATAGTTAGTGTTTGAAGGAACTTAAAGGGGGTCACCATGTTCCAAGGGAGTCAGGAGGAATGCTGTGTCTTAATAATCATCAAATATGAAATTTTTCCTTTAACAGCCACCATCAGAGTATGGAGACATACAGTTTTCTCTAAGCTACAATGACTACCTTGGACGTTTGACAGTAGTGGTACTGCGAGCAAAGGGAATACAGTTCCAAGAGGACCGTGGTGTTGTCAGTAAGTAAAGCTGTCTACACTTTTTTTTATTATTCTACAATTTTTTTAATTAAAAAATGTATTAAATTGTGACTAAATAGTGACTTAAAATTATTACTTTATAACATCTGTTGTGTGCTAAATAACTAAAGAAATCTTAAAAAGCAGCTGAAGCCATATACAGTATATATAATTTCTGTTCTGCTCGTATACACCTGAATAACCAGAATATAATCCAGAAATAAGTGTAACCTACACTGTCTGAATATATTACCCAAAGCTTACATTATTTATATTCCACGGGAAGACATGTATACCATTCGAGATGACTGGCTCATTAAAGGATCCTCTCTAAAATCCCCAGGTGGTGGTCTCATTCCCAAAACGAAAGGAATCACCAGGTCATTATCTTCAATATGTAAATCCCCCCACCCCCATTTCTAATGTTTTTTTGGCTAATTATTTCGTTTGTTACATAGTTCATAAGGGTGAAAAAATTGCACAGGTCCATGTACAGTAGTTCAACCTTTGTGTGTGTTCCTTCCTGACTCCATTGGCTAATTCCTATTTTAACTCCTAGCAATTTAAGAATTTCAATAGCCCTTTATATTATGCTGACTGAGGAAAATATCTGAAAGTCTTTTGAATTTATCAACACACCCATTTTTCCTGGTAATCATTCCTCATAACTGAGGTCCTCCAACACTCTTATTAATTTTGTTGTCCTTTGCTGAACTCTTTCTAGTTCAAAGATATCCTTCCTACCCCTACCACATGTATTGTGCTGCTGCTAATACTGCTAGCTATTCCACTATTGCTGCTGCACAAGTGTCCCGATGCTAACTCCTAGGCACCCCACTACCCGTTCCACACATATGTTCTATTGTGCACAGGAGGGATTAGTATTTGGGGGCCACTTCAAATAAAAGTTTTGAACCAAATGTTACAAACAAAATCTTAAGTTTACTATGTCACAACATTTTATTTTTGTTAATCTCCCCCAGTCTCTCACCTCAGCAAGCATTAGGTATTTAAATACTGAAAATGGGTGTTTTATACTTGCTTTGGTCATTAAACTTTTTACACATCTTTGCAGCATGGGTGACTTTTTTTTATTGATAAAGCCTTGATTTGCAGACAGACCAAAATACACTACTGGCAGCTTTTAACAGCAAGGTGCTTCAGTAATTGCCAATTAAGGTACCACCAGATGGAAAGACACCCTGCATGCATTGAAAGCATAGTTAATAAAGCATTCAAGCAATTGCTTTTTTCATTAAATATAGCGGTTCTTTAAATAGTGGTCTTATTAGACCACTATTTAAAGAACCGCTATATTTAATGAAAAAAGAAATTGCTTGAATGCTTATCAGTATCAGTATTGTCATGGGTTTTTGTATACGTACACGTCAACCCTTTTTACTTGAAAAGGAGTGCTCTCTTTTGTTTCAATGTATTTCAACTCAGCTAACCAGGACTGAAATGGGTAATTGATTTATGAGATTTTTCTTCGACAAGTCTTTGTGTAAGCTGGCCATTATTATAAGCAAAGCAAACCAAGTTCAGTTTGCTGGATGTTTACCAAACCCATTTGGAATCCGCAAACCCTGAATGGTAAACCCCATTGGAGTCTATGGGAAGTAAATCTTCATTTTGTTCTGCCCTTTTTCAGTCCAGTTTGTAAGCTTTTGTTTAAAAAAGGACATGGGTAGCTGGACAATGCCATGGGGGACAAGTACCAATGCAAAATAAAAAAATGTTTTAAAGACACTGTTCAGTGGAGAGAGGGGCTTTTTAACGTGACTTAATTGGCAACATTAAAAATGCACAATTTCTTTAACCACTTGAAGTCCGCGGTGTTAAACCCCCTTCCTGGCCAGGCCATTTTTCAGTATTCAGCGCTGCAGTACTTTGACTGACATTTATTCCGTCACGCAACGCTGTACTTAAATGAATTTATACAATTTTCTGGGGACAGATAGAGCTTTCTTTTGGTGGTATTTAATCACAACTGGGGTTTTAAATTTTTTACTATAGTAAGGAAAATTACAGAAAATAAAAAAAAAACTGTTTCCCCTATATTAAATTATAAAACCTTTATTATTACCCAATTTGTTAAGACGGGGTCATGTCGGGTAAAAAGACACCAAACATGTCAAGCCTTAAAATTGCGTGTGCCTGCGAAACCTCAAAAAACTACAATACCCAAAATTGGCCATAGGCGACGCTTTAAAAGCTTTTACCGCTCATCAGTTTAGTGTCATCAGTGATTGATGGCCCTAGAATTATTGCTCTCACTCCAACGTTCGCAGCGATATGTAACATGTGTAGCGCAATTGTTGTTTTCGCGCGCTGGTGCATCTGACGCATATTTACGTTTATAGGTGCGTAAACATGGAGGTGGGAGACTTCAAAAAAATGTTTTACTTTTTTATGTGCGAGTTTTTGTTTTAACTTTTTGTTTTTTTTAACATTTAATGTCAGTGCTATAACACAGGGGGATAACAATCCCCCTATATAATAGCAAAGGCACACTGACAGGTCCTCTTTATGGAGATATCAGGGGTCTCTGAGACCCCTAAAGTCACCTTGGGACCCCCCAAAGAAGCTAATGAAGCAGAGATCTGCTTCATCAGCTTCTTCTCTCTGGCTATAGCAGCCAGAGGACTGACAGGTGAATGCGGAAGTGATGTTATGCACATCACTTTCGCATTCACACTACGGAGGGAGTTCAGCAAGGAGGAAGATGCTGATCTCCCTCCCATCTTACCTCCTGACACCCTCAAGAGCCGGTCCCGGGCTGCAGATGGGGTAGTGGATCCTGGTATTGAAGGTGAGGGTGCAGGAGGGGGCAGCGGCAGGACTCGAAGAGGGGGAGGGGGGTGCGCAGCCACAACATACAAGCGATCGGCGGCTATGGAGCCGCCGATCGTTTGTGTATGTCAAACAGCTGGTAACGGCTCCTCAGAATGGACGGTTTTTTTCTGCCCGGGGGCGCGCGTGAGCAGAAAAAGAAGCCGTCTAATTACGGCAACCCGCCCATGTGAGTTTGCCGTCCGTCCGTTTTTTCACAACGGGTGGACGGCAAGCGGTTAAATAACATGCTTGGGGGTTGCCCTAAAGTTTATTTCCACTTTTGCAGTAAAATTTGAGAAAATGTTTATGTGGTCATTATTCACACAGCATAAAGAAAAATAATAAAAAACATTTTTCTTAGATGTTTTGTTAAAGTAGGCAAGATGGCAGATTCCAGGTTTTTCTCAGCACCTTCATGATGATCTGTCCTAATGGAAAGCCTTAGGACTAAAATTGGAGGATTGTGTTCCTCTCATTCTCTTAACATACAATGGACAAACCACCTCTGACCCCTCACTCCTCACAGCCTCACCTAACATTGCAAAGAAAGACAAGCAAGTAGACATGTTAACCCTTAAACCCTAAACCAAGTAAAAGCAGTTTAAACTGTAAGAAGCATTTTTTAGTTGTTTTTTTTTAGCTTATGCTATGTGAATGGGAACAAATATAAATAGGTGTCATGCCAATTTGGCTGCAAAAATACACTTTAAACATGAAGTTGCGGACTGGTACAACATACTTCTGTAAAAGTGACATAAAAAGACTACTGCCACTAAATGACAGTTCCCTGTGGCATTGTAAACAACATGCTCCTGCAAAAGTGACATAAAAAGACTACTGCCACTAAATGACAGTACACTGTGGCATTGTAAACAACATGCTCCTGCAAAAGTGACATAAAAAGACTACTGCCACTAAATGACAGTACCCTGTGGCATTGTAAACAAAGTGGCTGGGTGATCCCGTGTGACGTTATTCACCAAATATAATCATAACCCGGCTTTGCAATTTTGACTTTCTGACCCAGAGGACAGAAGGGTACCTCAACGCCTTCCCCTGCAGAATCATTATCTGACCTGCTTGCAGCCTTAGCGGCCTCTGGGCCTTCAGTTGCAGAAGCACTATCTGATGAAGAGTCTTTCAAATCCTTGCAGTATGATATTGTCCCTGAGAGTTCACAGGCAACCACCAAAACATCCAGACTGAGAGAGCCCTAAAAATTGACAAGCAGCCCATGGCTTCAACCAGAGATGGTACCAGTCTAGGAACCCTAAAAGGTCCTAAGACTACTAAAACTTTTCCTGTACGCTAACTGGGAGACTCCTGATTAATGTTTTACTCCTTACAAATGTTTTGTAATCCAATACCCATTTAAGAAGGCCTTTATTAGGAAAGGTGATCTGTCCTGACTGATGATTGAAGATGTGCCAGTATTTAAAGATTCAAAACTTTGTTTCTCTAGCAGGCCCTGTCATGCAACCTTCCATGGCCATGATATCAGTCTGTCAAACATTAGGGCAAGAAATCCAGCTTTACACCACAATAATCCTCTTTCTGGAGCAATTAGAGTTCATACTGACCACTCTATACTACTGTGGAGATGGGTTAGTGGACTTTTCTTATTTTATTTCCATTATGAATCTCCTATCAGTTTACATGGGGAGAATTCTGTGGTTAAAATGTCCTGACTTCAATCAACATTCTGGAGCTATAAGCAGTTTTGGTTGTCCTTATAACTCTGGATATTTTGACTGGGGGGTCTTCTGAGCAGGATCTAGTCAGACAATGCCACAAACGTTGTGTACATTAACCATCAGGCAGACTCCCTCAGCCTGCAGAGCCTAGACCCAGGGCAATAGTCCCTCCACCCAGAATTCTCCAGGTGCAGAGATGCTCTGGTGCAAGCAGTAGATGTTCTGGTGGTTCCATGGGATCAGTACAACTGGATTTACACCTTTCTTTCCCTGAAACCCCTTCCTCATTTGCCACAGGATTAAGATAGAGAGTATTCTGGTGATCCTTGTAGCTCTGGAATGCCCCAGGTGGATGTGGTAACCTGACCTGATTAGACTCCTGACAGACACTCTGTGGGCTCTTCCAGCTCAACCAGATCTTCTGTCCCAAGGGCCGGTTTGCTGTTCTGCTTCACAGTTGCTGGCTTTAAC